AGCTGAGCAGAACATATCAAACATTTTATTAAAATATACCGGACTTATAGTACATTTGGCACCAGATCAAAAGCCATTACACAAGTTAGATTTTCATTGTACTTGTGATGAAATTACCTTCAGATGGTGTTTACGACTCGAAGACATTTTTTTCCTGAAGGAGGTAGTGAAAAGATAAATGAATGTTCCAGAAAGTTTAACATTTCTGATATATAGTATTGTTTGGACTTGTGGCATTGCAGACATTAAGTTTCCGAACATTCTTTAAAAGCCAGGACACGAATGTAAATGGATGCCCAAATATGTCTATCAGTATAACATCTTAATCCGTAGATAAATATAGGTTTAAAGGTAATGTTAACGTTATTTGTACTGATTTAAATAAAAACATATCCAAACTTACTCAGACATCTTGACCTCTACCTTTCTTTAGAGCCTTTCAGAAAAAAAATAAAACGAAGCAATTCAATAAAGTCAACACACAAAAAAATACACAAAACACATGTTACAGTAGAGTACCACTTAAACACCAACATTGAAATATAAACATATGTGCAATGTGACCAGTGTTTAGAAGAAGTGAATTCAAAGGAGAAAATAATTTGCTTTGAGCTCAATGATCTGAGCCCCTGGTAACACGTGGATTGAGACAGCAGCACACTGATATCAGTTTCACTCAGGGCCATAGGAGTGTTGTTTCCTCCAAATTGAACCATTGTGGTGTTCAGGGAGAGAAAAGCATTTCTAAATGTGGATGTAGAAAGGATCCAGCTGTCTCTTTGGGAGGCTCCGATGATAAAGTCAGTTGTCATTAGCTGGTCATTTATAGCCTGACACTTTCTCAAGTGCAACCCAAACCTACTGTACCACAAGACACCACAGAGGGAAGGCCAAGAACGGTTTTAAGCTACTTGCTAGTCAATATAATATACAGAATAACCATAAGATGTACAACGAAAACAGGACAAAACACAGCCTAGACAACGACAACAGCACAAAACACAGCCTAGACAACAACAACAGCACAAAACACACCCTAGACAACGACCACAGCACAAAACACAGCCTAGACAACAACAACAGCACAAAACACACCCTAGACAACGACAACAGCACAAAACACAGCCTAGACAACGACAACAGCACAAAACACAGCATAGACAACGACAACAGCACAAAACACAGCCTAGACAACGACAACAGCACAAAACACAGCCTAGACAACGACAACAGCACAAAACACAGCCTAGACAACGACAACAGCACAAAACACAGCATAGACAACGACTACGGAAAAGCTTGAGAACATAATGAAACATCAACAGCAAAATGCACCTGAACAAAAAACGACATCCTGAGATAAGTTTTGTGAAAATGTTAGGTACTTATGATCAATTGAGGATAATACCAGTGTACTATACAACTAATCAAATGCTCCGCCACTGAAGTTAACAAGATGGTGACAGGATGACACAAGTCATACCTACAAGTCACAACCAAAAACTAAATGGGAGCATCTAGTTAATTATAAGGAAGTTCAAACTGAATGTTTTACAGAAATTGTATTTACATTAAGATGGTACACACATTTTTTTATGAAATGTAAGCTGAGGATTCACAGGGCAGGTGTTACATTCACATGACATAAATAGATGACAACTGAGGACTCGTTAGCAAAGGCCTGTCGTGTGTTTTTGTATGCGTATGAACAAATGTTTTTCCTGGCACAGAGAATTAAAGTGCATAGCTTTCTAAATGTTTTGCATGTGTTAGAGTCCGGTTTCAGAATGTCATCAATGGTTTATATATCAAAAAGGTTTGGCGCTGAGAATTACCTACATTGGACCACAATGTAGTGTTAGTCACAACAATTTAAAGAGAACAAAAAGATAATATGTTTTCCAAATTAAACAAAAACAAGAAGCTAGAGCGCTGGGACATTTTTAAATTTCAACTGTGTCTTAATATTATAAAGTATATTCCACTATTATGCTTCAACGCGTTAACATATTTACGATACACGTTTTTTTTCACATTGCCATGAAATAAAATTGAATTTAAGTAAGGATTCAGGTAAAATTGTACTAATGCAAAAATATTTTAGGAATCAAATTTTGCTTGGTAATCAATTCTTCTTAATAATTCCAGTTTACTAAAAGGACATACCAATTACAGATTACATAGCTATTGCAGTCATGACTGAACGTTTGAATAAAGGATTACATAAAGTTAAATATCACACCATTTAATAATACCTATATTGAATCCGATGCATCAACTTCAGAGTTATATATAAACAAAATCACGAACGATAGTTTTTAGCATAGATAGTATCTCCAATCGCAATGTATCAGAAAATGCGTTTAGGAACAGCAGGTCTGCACAAACATGGAGGCGTTCCCAAATGTACGTTTTAAGTGGTCCATGTTCTGAAGAACAATGGGTGGTTACAGAACTACGTCCTCACAACAAAATTCACATGACTAGATATTTTAACAGCCAAGCGTCCCTGTACACGAAGTTTAACCTGTTATTTACACAGAGGGAAACAATTGGTCTGATCTCACGTGGTTATCTGCACGGTCTCCAAACAGTTATAAGAAGGCTAATCCAGAACAGGCGAAGAGTTGCTGATATCCCAGGATGCTGAACCAAGCCGAGAACAAAGAGCAGATAGAGATTGAGGATAGATAGATAGTGAGGTTCTCACCTATAAGTGAAAGCTGGTGATCGGACGGTACACTTAGGACTGTGGGAGAGAACTGAGATGCTGTGAGGTTTTTAATGGGAATTAATGATGTCTCAGCAAATCTCTTACTTTCTCTTTATGGATTTAGAGCAGCTTAGCCCAGACCAATGGTTTAGCTGTAACGCTGGCCAAACCCAGCCTCCCTGCTACCAAAATATAAATAACCAACCCTTCCAAATTGTTTTTCTAGTTTTGTTGTTTTTTTTAGTTAGGCAGCTGTCGATTTGCGTCATGAGCTACAAATTGACAGTGCAGACCAAATAGCACTGACCATCTTATAGTAAATCTTGAATAAAAGATTGTGCACATAAACTGAAATGAATCAGTGTTGATAATGAGTCTAAGTACATACATAAAACACATAAAAACACAACTTAATGTGTGAAAGCCATGGGATTCAAATATGAAAGAGAAGTCTGTGCTGACCCAGGTTAAACAGCAGACAGCAGGGAGGCCTCAACTACAGACACAAATGTCTATTTATCGTGGTAAATAAAACTTGCTTAAATAAATATATAAATAAATAAGTAAGTAAATAAGTCAATATTATCTGCCATAGTCCTGATGTGCGAAATCGGGTAGTAATTTTATAGTATGCGGTACGGGAGGCCATTTGTGTAAAAGCCAGACTCCTTACCAGATGCAAACCGTAGACAGGAACAATCAAATGAATCTGAAACCACACAATTACTTACATTACTCAGTGAATGTCACATTTGTAACAACTAAAGACTTAAAGGCAAGACCGCGAACGTAACAACATCCCACAAATGTAACAGCAGCCCACAAATGTAATAAACACATACGTGAAACAAATCTGCAGTCGTAAATGTAATGATCCCACTAACATAGTACGTTTCCCACAAACCTATTAGCAGTTGCCTACAACAAATGTAAAACATCAGAACTATTTATTTTGCAGGCATTTTTTCATGTTAGCGGGAAGGGGAATGTCTTTATATTTATATTTTATAATTACTTCCCACGAATGATTAATATAATCAATATCTACAGCTGAAAAAGCTGATAACTGTAAATGTCTTCAACAGCTTATGACATTTTCTTTTGACATATTGTAGTTCTGTATGTTTTTACCTATTTAGACTGATGAAGTGTGGTGTATAAAAGATCCAATGGGTGCAGTGGGAAACAGGTTACATTAGTGACATTATTACTACTATTAGTATTATAAAGGCTGCACATTTGTATTACGTTTGTGGTTTATAACATTTATGGAATGTTGTTATGTTTGAGTCTAACAGGCAACATAACATGTATGATGTTTACAGCAGCACTAGTGTCCAAAAAAAAATCCTAAATTGGATGTGCAGTTAATGTTTTAAATTAATGCTTCAAAAAATTATTTCCTACAAAGTAAATTGAGTTAATGATAAATTCTCCATTTACACTATTTCGCTGTATTATCCTTCCCATTCGGAACAACTCTGGCTTACCTAGTATCATTCCAGTCTTGTTAGGTAAGGAAAGACGAGGAGACAAGACACGTTATTGTGTAGAGGTATAGGATTCAATCGACTACCACTTTAAATAAGTTGCTTACTTAATATTGTGATGCAAAATGGACAAATAAAACATAGAAGTGACTCACCTTAATTTCAGCTGTGGTGAAAAAAGCAAACTGCAGTTAAAAATGATAGAAAAATTGCAATAAAAAAAATGTGCAATACAGGCAAATACTGAGCTGACAGCATTATGATATGGGTATGTTTGTCACCGGCAGAACCTAGGATTGTCAAGATCACATTTGTTTATGGAAAAGAACAAAGCCATTTATGAAATTAGTCACTACCAACAAAATGGTCAAAGTTGTAAATAACAGCCATCCACCAAGTATAACCTCTGAGTAGTGAAGACATACAATATTCATTATTACCTTCTTCTAATATTTTCTTGTCTTGGCACGGCAGGATTGCTGTGGCCGTTGGATCCAACGTTTAGATCACGGATACTTGTTTCGTTAGTTAAAGCCCTCACCTATTTCCTTAATCACAGACCTTATTAAAGTTCCTCCTTTCTCAGTGTGTCTTGTCAGCATTTGTGTGGCATATGCCTCATGTTGCGGTTGCTTATGTCCTGGCGTTTTTCTGTTTAGTTTCTTTTTTGGTTATGGTTATATTTTTGGTTAAGAATTGTCCTTTGTTCGTTCTGCGCTTGTGTCCTGCCTCCCAATTGTTACAAATATTTGAACTAGGTAATATATATTAGAATTAAGTTAGTTATATTTGTATAAGTTGGTTTGCTCAGTGGTAGAGTGCATGCTTTGTACGTATGATGTCCAGGCTTCGATCCCCAGCTTCTACCCAGAATGCTGTTGCAAATGAGATACAAATTTGTTCTGAATCGACCTACTTGGTAAAATAAAATAATAAATCAGCTTATGTATATTTGAGTTAGGTTATGTAATTGCTCTTTAACAAAGAAAACATATGGACTGGGTTGATAAGAGAAAGTATGTAATTGATTCTTTTTCTGTACTTTTCGAACAGAAAAGTCTAGAACCACTGTAAAATGTTTTTGCTAACAATTTCACATTTCAATTTCCTTCTTATATCGAGACATGAACATTGAAATAATTGAAGTTAAGGATGATTTCCGTGAGACAATTTATTAGAAAAAAATGCTTCTTTTACAATTAATTAGCATACATTTCTACAATGACCTAGTCTATACTGGGCAGCAACTGTCAGACCATCACATACGCCCTGCTTAGGCTTCCATACTTTCACTTTGTCTTTAATTTTGTGTAACAAAATATGTGTTACAATTTCAGTTGTAATAGTTATCAATATCATTGACTAAGACATTGCAGGTCAATAGTCATGCACATTAGACAAACCCCGCCCATTGATTTAATTATCTCCTTGAAACATCTTCTTCCTGCCGTCCATGCCAGCCTTGTCGTCAATGTTCTTACGCCAGTCCCCGACGTCGCGCAAATCCTTATCCTTAAAAGGTAAACACAAGAAAAATTAATGAAGGTAAGAATATTAATTCGACTTAAATAATATATTCAGATGCTATGTTATTTGCACATGTTATGATCTTAAATAGCGCCCACCTCTTTCTTCTCGTCTTTCTTCACTTGTTTCAGGTTGGCCCTTAGATCCATGGTGACCTTATGTTTTGAGCCCAGTAGGGCTTGGAGCATAGCATCAGCAGACATGCGCACTTTCTTCAGAGCTGGCTTTTTGAACTTGCCTCTCAGGTCAACAATTTTTATGTTTAGGTCTATAACCTAATGGGTGGAAGTTTGAAACAGGTACATCAGTGATTAAGTCGTTCAAACATTTATCAAAATTGTTTAAAAAAGTTAATCATTTGAACATGCGCAATGACTTAATTACCTGAGGCTCATCAAGGCTCAACATTACCCAAAGAACATATAATTCAACAATCACCACACAATATTTAAGATAAATATTCTGTACAAAAAGGTCTGAAAATAATCTGAAAATGAATACAGTGTTTTCTTTAGGTTTTGTCTTGACACATCTGAGGTATCTGTGGCGTTTTGAGGTGTCTGTGGCGAGACAACATCGCAAGGGGGAATTAAAAACATTGCTGACACTCTGATGACTGCTTTAGCGCAAAACATTACAAAATGTCTGAAATATTGAACATAAGTTGCTGTTAGCAGCGTCAGATAAAAAAGCGATATCAACATAACAAGAAACTGTGGATCTCATACAACAGTGTGTAGTACTCCCGTCACAGAACAGCACAAACAAACTGGCTCTAATCAGAACAAAAAGAAGAGTGAGAGGACCCGGTGCACAACTGAGCAAGAGGACAAATACATTAGAGTGTAATCTGTAATTGAAAATTGAACCCTCTTACCCTGATGGTATATATATAACAAAGAGAGAGAGAGAGAGATAATCAATTCAAGGGACATGGGTTACTCACCTCATTGCAAACCATCCTGGTTTTGTATTCTAGGTTATATCTCTCTTCATCCTTCGTATTGATTTTTTCATACATCTCTTTGCAAAGTTCCTAAATAAAAGATCAGAACAGACAGAAATGTCACTGTAATACATATCTAGCCTTAACTTGGCAGAATCATACTTAACAAACAATGTACCAAAAAGGTATGGAATTAGAAGATGACCTATGATATGTAAGAAGATGATGTATGATATGTAAGAAGATGATGTATGATACCTATTTTAAAATCTGAGTCACTCACCATTAATTGCTCCTTGGAAGGCGGTATATCCAAAGGAGGGCAGTTTTCATCCATGTATTTCTCCCTCTCTTTAACTTTCTCAATTGCTTCGGCCTCAAGCCAATCCTTCGCAACTGCCAGCATGCAACTCTGAAAACAAAATATGAGAGTTAATACGAAAAATGGACCAATAGCTACATGTGTTTGTATAACAGAATGACGTTGATGCAGGGGTGAAGAAAATAAACAATGGAAACACCTCACACAATGCTGTGAATGTTGGAATGCTGACATACAATTCCTGAACCCTAACTCTTTGACCTATGATCCAATAAACAAGGTTCTTTGAAGGAGGAACAAGGTGGACTTGTACTTGGGACTCAGAGTTCTAGAAGGATGTTCTTTGAATGATATAGAAATATAATTTAAAAATAAATTTTCAGATTGGATGATTGGGGAAGCCATGAAAGGCATTTCATGGCATTCTTGTGTTCATGAAACCACTCTTGGTTCAAACACATTTCCATGTGTCCTTCATCATCCCAGTATATTAGGACCCACAAGCAGTGTTTGAACCATATGGTTCACTTGGTCTTGTATGGTTCACTTGGCAGTTGTACAACCCTGCAGACACCTTATTGGACACGTCTTCCTCCTGCCTCCCATGAGACCCAGCCCATACTGTTATGGACCCCCCACCACGAATAACAGCTGGTAGAAGACATTGTGGGCTTAAGGGATTCCCTTTGACTTTCTCAGAACGTAAACCCATCCGGGTATAAGTAATAGGGTGAAAGATTAATCACCAAGCTATTTTCTTTTCTTTTGGTCGGAGGTCCAAATTTTGTGTTACATACAAAACGGTATGTTTCTGTACTCCATACACCACGGTATGTTTCTGTACTCCATACACCACGGTATGTTTCTGTACTCCATACAACACGGTATGCTTCTGTACTCCATACACCACGGTATGTTTCTGTACTCCATACACCACGGTATGTTTCTGTACTCCATACACCACGGTATGTTTCTGTACTCCATACACCACGGTATGTTTCTGTACTCCATACACCACGGTATGTTTCTGTACTCCATACACTACGGTATGTTTCTGTACTCCATACACCACGGTATGTTTCTGTACTCCATACAACACGGTATGCTTCTGTACTCCATACACCACGGTATGTTTCTGTACTCCATACACCACGGTATGTTTCTGTACTCAATACACCACGGTATGCTTCTGTACTCCATACAACACGGTATGCTTCTGTACTCCATACACCACGGTATGTTTCTGTACTCCATACACCACGGTATGTTTCTGTACTCCATACACCACTGTATGTTTCTGTACTCCATACACCACGGTATGTTTCTGTACTCCATACACCACGGTATGTTTCTGTACTCCATACACCACGGTATGCTTCTGTACTCCATACACCACGGTATGTTTCTGTACTCCATACAACACGGTATGCTTCTGTACTCCATACACCACGGTATGTTTCTGTACTCCATACACCACGGTATGCTTCTGTACTCCATACACCACGGTATGTTTCTGTACTCCATACAACACGGTATGCTTCTGTACTCCATACACCACGGTATGTTTCTGTACTCCATACAACACGGTATGTTTCTGTACTCCATACACCACGGTATGTTTCTGTACTCCATACACCACGGTATGCTTCTGTACTCCATACACCACGGTATGTTTCTGTACTCCATACACCACGGTATGTTTCTGTACTCCATACACCACGGTATGTTTCTGTACTCCATACACCACGGTATGTATCTGTATTTTACCTAATTTCACCTCTGCAACCACATTTATTATTCTATTACTTCAAAGTAAAAGTATTTTTTTCTTGTAGTGTTTTGGTTATTTTTTCTACCCCTGTACATCCTTTACATCTTCACTATATCCAAACTAAATACCAATAAAGGAGTTAAGACAGGGCTAAATGGATTCTTTACCTTCAGTGTATGCTTACGGCTCGAGGACACGTTACCTTTCTTGCTGTTAGCCCAAAGAGAGAAAGAGACATTTAGCAAAACTACATAAACACCAAATCATAATAAATATCGTCCCATACTTACTCAGTCATCTTGGCTGTCTAATGTCTTTCCGTCCTAGAAACTAAAAAACAATAGCAATCATGAAATATGTAGTTACAGCTGCTAACATAATATCAACAACACTGATATAATCAATCAATATTGACAAATAAGATGACTTGAACCATCAAATAGGTTTATATCCATGAATACAAAATGACATTCGTCAAAGTTTGTCCAACATGACGAAACAAAACAACACTTCACAGTTTTTGTGTTAATAATCTGGTTTCGATCTCCATAACTAATAATCTTACAATGGACTTGTTTAGTATTTGAGGCAAGAAATTCAAAAAACACATTGAACTCCAAATGTTGCTTTGTTTATTGTGTGTCTCCGTGTGTCCCAAGGAGATGGGAAACTTATCCTGAGTTGAGTGATCTAAATTGGGCCCTGGGCTTGTCTTAAGTGGCTCTGTGTTATGGTAGGCTTGTTTCCCAGAGGTCACAGTAACCCAAAACCAAAGCTAGTTGTGCCAGCCCTGTCATTGCTTTCTAGAACATCTCGTAGATGGCCGAGTTGTTAGGCCACGTCTCAAAAATAACCGCTAGCCGCTCAATCCAGTCTGTTCGGCGCAATCCCCAAACGGCCATACACAACGATAACATATTACAAAGATGCTTTTCGAAAAACGAATGGGTTTATTTAGCGATAAATGAAAGCCATTAATGTTGCATCAGTGTTTGAAAATTCCACAAACTGTTTAAAATTAATATTTAAAATAACAGCCGAGTGACAGTTACATTAACTACCTAGCCTTACATTAACTACATAGCATTTCCAAAGCTGAGGTCAATTTGAATGAAAGAAAAACAAGTTAGGGATTATATTGATCCCAACTGAAAAATACATGTCTACGTTGAATGACTTATCAGATATCGGAAGACTAAGAACTGTTCTTACGAATTCAAATAAATCCACTTGAGTTGAACCAGCCCTGATTTTTGCTGTGCAGCAGCTAGCGTGTCAGCTGTTCACCTTCTCCTGGTGTGA